TTCCCCCCCCCCCCCCCCCGTATCTTGCCACAGAAAAAGAAGTAGAAGGCGGCTTGGATTCAGAGAGCTGTGAAAGAAGACTCTAAAAATGCTGCTGTAGTAGCAGGAGTGCAGTGATGGACAGTTTGATAGAGAAAGGAGTGACCTAGGCAGTCATCTGAAGAGTGCCACCAGATTTGCTCTGAAGAAGACAAGATCAAGATCCTGATAATGCACATGTTTAACTTGGAGGTTAAAGCCTGGAAGACTGACTTATTGAACTCATACAGACAATAGGAGTACAATTATCTTTTGTAGTTATGTTTTTCATAAAGAAACTAGCAAATGGAGTATTTGCCCCATTGCCTATTGCTTCCAACTACCATCCTCGAGCTCAGCACTGAAGGGTGTTTTCATACAGGTCATCCATGAAGTTTTCAGTCTTGCACACATAGAGTACTGTTGACAGACAGTGTAATGTTACTCTCACTGACAATGTCGCTGGCAGATTTTCTGTCACTGTTTCTGTTGTCTCTCTGAGAGCTACCATCAGCTGTCTGACTGTGGGTTTCCACCCCCGGGGGTCATAACATCTAATAACCACATTTAGAACTATTTGTCCTAGAATCAACAAAGTGTCTAAGTGCCCTGAAAGAGTTCTTGCCAAAGGCTATTATCCTAAGGAAATATACCAATGAAAAAAAAAAAACAAAAACAAACAAGAAATCACGAGAATTAATTTGCAGAAAATTTCTTGGATCCAGGTATGAATAAAATTATTATCAGTGAATAAGCACATAGGAAAATTAGTGAGGGAAATCACATGTTATGTGTCAATGCAACAAATCCAAAGGGGAGACCACAGAAGTCATCATGCTGGCCCACTTCATCTGGCTGCAGGGTATTATGAAGAACAGACTACAGTACAAATGCTGATCTTCATGTCAAGTAGTCTTGGTGCTAACACTTTTGTGCATGATGCAAGAGAAGCAAGTTTAACTTTTTCTGATTTGGGAAAGAGGTTTGGTTCTAGAGCACTTATCCTTAGGTCACTATCTTGAGCCTGAAAGTACTGCATATTCCAATAGATTTTTTCAAACAGCAACCAAATCTTTTGAAACTGTTCCACTTCACATAAAATATTTAAAAACTCAACAGAACATGAGCTAAAACCCAGTTCCTTTGAGAATTGTTGTAACCATTAGGCTATCATGTATTTTTCATTTACTCTGTTCTTAAAAGTATTCAGTCGTTCTATGCAAAGCAGATATGTATTTGGAACAGGACATACTATTAAGGACTTCTCAGATTATTTTATGCTCTAGCTATTTTGAATACTGCCTTGTGGCTCAGAACACTTGGGTTAAAATCTCAGCAACAAATCAACAGACACAGGCGTTCAGGTAGCTCACACTGCAGGTGTGTTCTAGCAATGGGCTATTGAGGATGAAGACAGGCAGCATCTTCTGCTGCCTGGCTTCCCACACAGACCAAACAGGAGACTGGGTTCTGACATCAATAGAGACCAAGGGACATTCACTTTACCAACTCTGCTGCAGCTGAGGCTCAAAATGGATTACGGCAACAGGACATGGATGCTTTTATTCAAATAATGTCAATATAAGGAGAAGGGAGGTTTCCATGGAAATATAGATACCTCTGATTTCCAGTGACAGAAAACCTGTCTTTTGTAATTAAGTTGCTAGAAATAGCCGTTATGTACCTCAATACCCTTGGCTGCATTTATGAACAGGACCAAGGCATGAGCCTTTGTATGGTACCCAGTTTGGACTAAGCCGGCTAGATTGTGAAGATAGCATGAGCCTGGAGTCATTCCAAAAGATAATTTTGTGCAGCTAGCATGGGGGTAAGACAGTTTAGTTGTATGGATATACACTCTGTCATTACAGTTGAACTCAGAGCCAGAAGACAGTCCCTGGCCCATTTTATTTGCTAGTACCAATGTAGCCTTGACAGATGAAGGCCCTGGACATTTGTCAGGCAACAAAGGCATCATTACTAGCTTGTCTAATGACACTACCACTCTTCTTCTCCTTTCCAAATTCACAGCACTTGGCAAGTGATACTCAACATTTAACAGCAAGGTCTTGGAGGGATTTAAAGAGAGAGAGATGGTGACAGATACATAAGCTTTATTCAAGAAGATAAATTCAGAGAAAGAAACACTTTCATCTGAATCACAAGAGAGATTAGAATGAGATTAATTTATAATACAATACCTGGTCTTCCCCCACTTAAAACATACTTCACTTGGAAATGATACACCAAGCACTGAAAGTGCAACAAATGGAGACAGAGACTGATTTTCTGCTTTCATTTACATGAAAATCTGTTTAACAACTCAAGGAGGCTTAGTCACATTGTAATCTGCACTTTATCATACCATCACTCCGTGCAAGAGAGTCACTCTGACATGTAGGTACTGTTCACTGAATATATACAGTTTTCCTCCCTACAACACAATGTTCTTTGAAGCATGCTTTATTTTATTTTTTTTTCTTATTATAACCCATTATTTGAAAATTACTTTAAGTAGCTACTACGTTATTTTGAGTATCATGCAAGATCATCTAGTTCCAACCCGCCTGCCATGGGCAGGGAGACACTTCACACGAGATAAGAATGCTCAAAGCCCCATCCAACCTGGCATTGAGTGCTTCCAGGAAGAGGGCAGATCAACTCCTGTGAATTATGGAAAGCAAGGTTGGAACTTTTTTTGAGCTGCATGATGACTTTTTTTTTTTTAACAGGATCACTGAAGGAAAAATCAGGACAAGGAAAAATGGTTTTAAACTGAAGGAGAGTAGGTTTAGACAAGATCTTAGGAAGAAGTTCTTCAGTATGAGGGTGGCGAGACTCTGGAATAGGTTGCCCAGAAAGGTTGTGGATGCTCCCTCGCTGGAGATGTTCAAGGCCAGGTTGGATGAGGCCTTGAGCAACCTAGTCCAGTTGAGAGGCATCCCTGCCCAAGACAGGGAGGTTGGATTAGATGATCTCTAGGGTCCCTTACCTAGAGATCTAAGCCATTCTGTGATTTTATGAAGAGCTTAATTTCTGCTGAATTCTGACTTCTTGAGTTGGTCCAGAATCTGACTTTGTTCATAGTCCAGAAATTTCATTTATCACCTTATTGGAGAGACAGTATATGAGTGTTATGGAAAATAATATTGGTCACTGTCATGGATTTCAGACCTTGGCTGTCTTCTGCTGTCTTTCACTCATTGAAATCTCTCTGACTTCATACAGCTACAACAACAATACTATGACAAACCGTGAATATACAACCATTCAGCAATTCAAAATAGAGTTGTGTACACTATGGAGAATTACCTGAAATATTGCAGACATCTTCAACAACATTCCAGACACCCTCACATCCATTTGCAGCTTTTATACATTGATCCCTCAAGTGCAGACAGTCAGTAGTCTGGGCAGTAGATATACTTACGTAGTACATGAAAAACACTGTAAAATCAGAATATAGTATCTATCTAATACAACAGGTATCATACAGAGCTTTTTCATTTACACTTAGGTTATAACAATATAATTTAGTTTATCTATAGATTCAAATTTTCTACCAAGTTACATTTTAATAAAATAAAAATTTTCTTCAGTTTCACAACTGGAAAATTAAATCTGAATTTTATATTTTCAAACATGCAGTGTGGAATATTTTGTATTGGTTTTATCCCAGTATTATAGCATCAACCGTATCTATAGATATATAGAAATTACTGCAGTTCTGAGATCCATAATAAATTATAGACTGGAAGACAGTATAAAATGCAGAGGAAACAGTATTTTATTTGGACTGCAGTTTTGTCAAGCTAGAGACCACACAGGAATTCTTATAAATAGACCATGTGAAAGAGATTGGACAGTTACACAACTGTTAGATAATAAATGCATCGTTTCTTGAAAGCAACCCCCACATTCATGTCTTTGTCTGCTTCCCTGAGCACACTGAACCTAACAGCCATGAAAATTGCATAAAAAAAATCTGAAATTGAGAACTGATATGGAGGTTTCAAGGTAAAAAAAAATTAAATCAGCATCACCTCTGGCTTATCAGTAGAAAATTAAATTGCCTTGCTAACAGAAGACAAATCAGATGGGGTTTAGCTGTTTCATCAAGATTCCCATGGTAACCCAACCTCTAATTGGTAACCATGCATCTTAATTTTCTATAAAATTAAGTTTCAGACACTGATTTCAGGCCTTATCAAACTAGCTGCTTAACACCTGATGGGAGGTTTTTCCTTATGTGTTGAAGGACACAGCACCTCCCAGACTAAGTCTCCTATTTTTCTTTTTCCCTTATGTTCAGGCAAGTTCATGTGGAATTTCCAGCACTGCTCAATTCCATAAAAATCATCTGCAAGAGGCATGAAGTATTCTGTCAGGACTTGTCCAGATCCTTTCCAGAGAAATTAAATGTTTTCAAGGATATATTTGAGAAATAAGAAATAATATATCAACTATCACTCTCAGTAATCTTAAAGAGACATAACTGTTTAGAGGTGATGCAACATTCCTTCTAGAAATAGTGCTTACCTGTGATTTAATGGTGCTGCCATGGGGAACACCTTCTGGAGACATGTTATTAAAGACAAAGTAGCATTCAGGACTTATAACTGACAGGTGCAATACCATCTGGTGTGCCTCAGAGACATATAAGAGGTCATATGTGCTCACCATAGCCGGTGCTAATCCTTCTCTTTTTGTGCTTATTCCTGCCAGTTCTATGATCTGTACAAGGCTGGTTGTGAGGTTAGTGATTTCCAGCCTGAAACACTCTTTTAGGCTGCATCTGTTGGTCAGCCTGGGAGACTGATCAACAGAAACAGGTCCTGCCCCTTGAGAATGAGGAATGTCCAGCTGGCCTGCCCAAAGTGACAATTTCAACTCATTATGACATGTTATTCCTGGGACTGTCTCCAAAATTCTTTCCAGATGTGAAATTACTCACTATTTATTCAGATGAGAGAAAAAAAAAAAAAAGGTGCCAAATACCTTGAAGGTGAAAATGAATGTCTCTGTAAGACAATATAAAATTACAGACCCAAGAACTTTTAAAGATGAAGGTATTTTGCTGAATGATCATTTGCCTGTTTTGTAGCTACTAACACGACAGAAGATTTATGCATAGGATTAGGCTATGAAGCAGAAAGACTCTGTGCTGTCTCCCTCCTGTTAAGACAGCTTTTCAGAATCAGTGCCTGAAAATGAATAGTCCAAGTGGGAGTAATTTAGCAGCCAGTTTGCAGCTCCTGCTCCTTTCTTAGGACTATTTCAGAGTGTGTTTACTTCAAACCCACCTGGAAACTGTGCCCACAAAAAGGAGGAGGTGCTTTTGCAAAATAAAGAGCCAAGTACCATAATCTACGATTGAAGATCATTCAGACTAAGAAAGGGCTTTGCCAGATCTATTGACATATTAGGGATGGGTCTTTTGTTTCCTCAGCAGTACACAAGCAGAGTACTGTGGCACGCCTACATGAAATAAACTGGCCTCTGTGATCTAAGAGTCTGGTGAACTGTAGCTTATACAACTGCTTAAATTAAGAGTTATTACTTCAGTCATTCACTTCAGTTATTTACTCTAGTGCTTGGAGTACTCAGCGACTGCTTTTTACTCAGAAGAGTTCGGGGCATCTAAGAGCTTGTAGTTAAAACTTTTAGAGGGACCCATTTTTATATGAACAGACATACATTTGGGTTTCTACACGTCTGCATTTTTGTAGTGGTGTCTATTGATTCACTGGGTAGGTGTAAAATTCCCTGTTCAAAAGAATTTGGTGTCTAAAGTGAAAAGGGGAAAAAAGGAGATTTTAGCACTTTAATTTTGTAGATTTGGAACTGAGGAGAAGAGGAACTAATGTCTCTCTCAAGATTTCAGAATTATTATCCGGTAGATAATAATTCTGCAGGAATAACAGGAAACCAAGCTGTGGTTTCTATCCAAGAGCTCAGAGCTAGCTAGCTCCAGTGGAGAAAGGCAAGCTACACTTGAATATAGTTTGAATATAGATGAAAAGCAAAAAAGAACAACTTTATTCTAAGAAAACCTGGGGCAGAACTACCTACAGAATGGTTTTAACAGTGGAATGTGAATTTGGAGTAGTGGAACGTTAAAGAGATCAGCACGTATACAATATGTAGTTGGGAAAAGGAGAACGAAAGAAATTAAAATAGGCCTGGCTCAATGTATTTTGTTCTACTAATTCCTTCTGTACTAGCTTTGTTAATTCTCCCTTTTTCTCCACTCAGACCCAAAGGGAAATGTCAATAACTCCCTGTGTAGCACTTGCCAGCACTAAACGCTTTCCAGTTAGCAAACAAGTGGTTGTTTATTCAGACAAGGCATTCCATTTGTGTGTCTCCTCACCTGTTCAACTTCTTATCAGCACCAGCACTGCTACCCTGCCTCACCTCCCGCTTCAGACACGCTACCTGGAGTCAGTATACACAGAGACGTAGGCACCAAGCCACAGGGCCTGTATGTCGCAAGCTGCTGTGCACCTGCGACAGGTACCCCCTCGGGTCCGCCTTGAGGCTCCCCGGGAGAAGAGGCAAGGAGAAGGAGCTGTGAGGGGCGCCCGTAGAGAGAAGAGGCAGAGAGGGAGCTGTAAAGAGGGGGAACCCGCGCAGAGGAGAGGCGCAGGGGAGAAGCGAGGGTCCCGGCGAGGCTGGGGCCGCCTCCCCCCGGCCCCGCGGCACTTACCGAGGCAGAGGAGCGCGGCCATGGCCGGCCGCGG